AAAAAAAAAAAAAAAAAAAAAAAAAAAAATAAAGAAAAAAAAAGAAAAAAAGACAAGAAGTAGTAATGTAGGTAAAATTCAGTCAGAGACAATACATTAAAAAAGATCTATCTTTGACGCTTCAATTTCTCTGTATTTTCTTGATTAATTCATTAGTTATTGCAGAAAACTAACGTCCGATTGTACCATGTGGCTATATTCATTCGTTCCTTATTTTTCTTATTTTATTTTATTAATATGATATACATTTACCGTTTCTCATCTTATTCATTTTTCTTCCTTTCATTTCTCTCTCACTAGTACATACGCAAATACTCCCTTTCGTCTTTTCTTATATATTCTCTCGTTCTTTCTTTCTGTCTTTCTTTTCTTCCATATTCTCATTTCGTATGAGATTCTTTTTCAAACACGCGTATATTAATGCTATTTAAAAGAATACGAGAAGAAAAACATTCATCGTTGTTTACCCCGGCGTTATACGTGTATATATATATGTATATATATATATATATATATATATATACCTTTTAATTTTATTATGTGAGCATTTTTTATTTGCCATTCATACATTTTGCACATTTTATTTTTATTTGTTCAACTATATTTTTTTGCTTGATTGATAAAATGAAAAGTTATCGATACCTAAATTTAAATTTGTTGATTGAGGTATCGATTTATCTTCTACTTATATTTTCATAATTATTTCTATTTTCTTTTATTCTTTTTTTTTTTTTTTTTTTTTTGTTTTTTTGTTTTATTTTTTTGGTCAAATTAATTCTTTCAGCGAGTTAAATAATAGCCTGATATTAGTACGCACTCTTTCAAATTCGAATAAAATATTTTATTTAAATACAACCTATATGCATAAAAACACACGTATTTGGATGTGCGTATGCAACAAATCTATTTGTTTTATTTACCGCATACGTTAATTCACTCACTACTGTATTCTTACTTTCTTTAATATGTTGTTCTCATTATTCTAAAATCGATTTACAGAAATTATTGAATATGCGCGTGCTAATTATTTTCATTGATCTTCATAAATTTCTTCTATTTATTTTTCATTGTCCGATAATTGTACCGTTTAATGCATGCTGTGGAAATTTTGTAAATATTGATTTTGATTATCATACATAGAATGTTGCAATATTAATTTTTTTCTTTTCTTTTTCGTTATTAATCATCTATTTCTTGAATTAGTTACTACATCCTAATTAATTGAATGCTGAATATGAACGATGATATTAACAATTCTGCGAAGAAAAGCCACTGCAGGAGCTTAAACTATCACGACGATGTACAGTAAAGGATTTATTTATATTAAATAATTATTAGGCAGAAAGATAAAATGATTAATATATTACAAGTTTGTAAAAAAATGAAGAAACTATAAAATTGAAGATTAAAAAAAAATATGAGCATAAGAGTATCTTATAAGTATACACGTGTGTGTATAAAAGTATGAATATTCTAAATAATATTCGCAGTAAGAGGAACAAGAACGAAAAACTAGTGTTATAACGTGAAGGGGTGAAAAAAAAAAAAAAAAAAAAAAAATTATTGTTCACGCTTATAAATGATTGGACTTGAGCAATCGCAACCATCTCTTTGTTTCCATCATCATTATCATTTTCTTTTTGAATATCCATACGTAGTGTATCAATATGTGAAAATCTAAATGCAGTTTTATTAACGACCTCTTGCCCACCGCAGTAAAGCATCCGCCAGTACATCGAGGTGCGCTTTTGTCTGTAACAAAATGAAAGGAAAACAATATGATCAGAGATTAGTACACGTACGTGAGATGTTACGAGTGTATGGAATGTGGTCTCGAAAGAGAAAAGGAGCTAAGTCTACATCAAAGTTTATTCAGTCTCTCTCTCCCCTCATACGCCCTATGCCCGTAAAAACTCTTTCTTCGCGTTTCTCTCGTACAATCACTCTCATTCTCAAGCGCATATAGTGAGTTTAAGTGGCTTCTGTGAAGCTAAACGAGAAAATGTACGCGTGCTTATTCAAATATAATGAAAAGCGCGGATGCATTGTTTAAATAAGAGTTTCATTTTTTTTTTTTTTTTTTTTTTTTTTTTTTTTTTTTTTTTTTTTAACTACTTTTCAAGCATTGAAATCAGAAGTTTGCTTGGCTTGCAGAAAAGTACATAAGATGTTGCAATTTAAGTATAAAGGTGATTTAGTGCCAGTTGACGAGGTGAAATATATGCAAAAATTATGGTACGAAGAAGTTGTGAACTTGTCGCGAAAGAGAAGAAAAAATCTGAAGAAAATACCTAATTAATTTTATTTTATATACAATGTAAAAATAAAATATTAATTGGTAAATTACAATCGATTATCTAATGCTGATTAAAAGCTTTTGCTGACGTTTAAGCTATATAAAGTAGTGAAGGATGAATATACTTTTCTTTACTAAAAAAAATCAAAATTAATTACTATTTTGAAAGCCAATTGATAGAACCAATTTAGATATTTATATGAATGTAATAATTTAAATTAGAATCACTCGTGTGCTTTATTTGCTTACATTATATTTGAAATAACAAATGTTTCATCTATGAATTTTAATAATGACAAAATTTTGATTATAATATATTTTATATCGAATAGTGTAATTTATATTATATAATTTATACGCAAGCGATGACTTTTATATATATTTTAATTAGGGAAACTGAAGCTACTTAATTTGAATTTGTCGCGGAAATTGTTACTAATTCGTTGAAAAACTGCATTCGTCAAATTATCCAATGTTCGATAAAATATATTTACAAAATGCATTCACACGATTAAGAGGCAATTATTGTAATGTATTTGTATAATGAAAATATTAAAAACTTGTAATTATAATAAAGAGACAATAGGGAAATGATTCGAGTCATTATAAAATGCAAGTGAAGCGCGTAAGCTCTTACGTATTTATAGAATTTATGCGAAAGTCCAAATATTACTTACGGTTTTATAGAACATGCACGCCTGTCTATCCTCATCCTCTCCCATTGGACAATCTATAAAACCGTCACAGAGCACGTGATCATCGATGCAACGATATCTTCCCATTCGATCGGCATTAGGACACGCGAATCTCTCCATGCCATCGTCCGATAATGGACATTCTGAAATGTAAATCATAGTTGGATCGATAGTCAAAGATCTCGCTATAAGTATTCACTCAATCCCATTGTATTTCTTTTTATTTGGCTGTTTTTATTTGCTATTAACATTATATGACGTTTGTATACTTTGTTATAATGCATAGATTGAATTTCACATTATTTATAGATCACTTGAGCATCGAGTTTGAAAAATTGCTTAATCCATTAAAAAGGATTAGAAATGAAAATATTACATTAAAATTTTTAATGCAATTCATTTGAATAATTAAATCATGCATTTTAATAAGTTTAATTATTTTTTATATAAGTTTCCACGTTGCAGGTTAATGCCAATATTTATGCCACGAAAGAATAACAATTAAAGGAACATCGTTATTTATCGATAAAATAAATTTAATTGTCACCGACAATGTACCTTCAAAATGCTTTTATAAAACATCATAAACATAAGTTTTCCATGTCAATAAAATTTTATAAAACCTTATCAATTAGCGCTAATCAAAATTTTTCTTTAAAAACTCGCTGCTTTTTCTATTTTTCTATGTTTTTTGTGTACTAAACATTTTTCCACCTAAGCTTAGTTTATTATAATTCATATAAAAATATAGCATATAGATATAACATAAAGGATTTTGTGTGCATTCATGACTACATAATATCGAACTCATTTTCACTAATATCTTTACAATGACTTAGACTTTATTGAAAAACTTTATACAATTAATAAATGCATAATGCAATGATTTATAATATTTTTTAATCAGAATTTATTTTTAACTAGAACTGTATTAAGTAAAATTCTAATCATTTAACCATAGTATCCTTTTCATGGTCAGCATACACATTATAAGTGATAAAAAATAATATTTTTAATCGTATTAAAAGCGTCATAAATTATCATTTAATTCCTTTAATACTAGATATTATTTTTTACTCTCCCACCAGATCACGAAGTACATATAAATCTTTTTTTTATTGATTCATTAATGCACTTATGGAAATTAGTTTATAAATACTGAAGTACAAATTTTCTTTGATCTATTTATTGATGCAACTATATAAAATTTTAAAAATTAATAACTTATGAATAAATATTATAATCTATAAAAGTATAAAAGGAAGATCATATCATATTTTTAATCTAAAACGATGAATCTCTTTTACATTAAGAATAATATCAGAACATAAAAGTTCTTTGGCATTAAAATTAATACGCGTCTTAACATTAATTTTTTAATTACATAATTTAATGCCACTATAAGTGAAATGCGAATAAGTATGATATCCACATTTAATTGCAAATATTAATTTTAAGTAAATTTTTCATACTTTCAATTCAATTTATTACAAAAATTTAGAACATAAATATAAAGATTTTATTAATTAAATTCAACATTAATTAAAGAACTTCTTCTTTAATTAATTATATTTGATTGATTTAATTTAAAAATTTTATTCAATGTCACCTACGTCAATGACCTACGTACAAAATGCATATTTCATTTTTAAAAATATATATACAATTTGTAACCAATAAAAGCAGAATTTATATTTATTTGAAAACATTGATTTTTAATGCTATTAGTGATTTATAAATGCACAAGGACGCGCCCACGCACATGAATATATATATAATGGTATACATATAAATAAACGTTAAGGCTTTTAAATATAAATAATTCAAAAATAATTTATAATAAAAAGCATAAATTCTTAAAATTTTAAAAATCTAAGGTAAAGTTTACTAAAATAAACTTGGATATATTGAAATTATTTTAAAGATAAAAACGGCTTTCAATAAACACTGAGAAACAATCATCGTAATTTAAATTAACGATCACCGAAAAATAAAATTCCAAGCAAAAAAGGCAAAAACAGAAATACGAGTTTATTTTTAAGATTATTTAAAATTTAAAAACAATAAAAAAAGATATTACGATTATGATAATTTATTATCATAATATTTAAAAATCTTTTAATGATTAATATATGTATTTATTTTATATACCGCGGATTAGATAATCGATCCAAAATAAACAATTTTTTAATAAATCACATATAATTACAAATCATTACTAAGCATACGAGTATATATATATATATATATATATATATATATATATATATATATGTACATATAAAAGATCAATATCGACTTTTTCACTATTAAATATTGCAAAGATTATTAGTATGAATGATCTAGGAATTAATATGTTAAGTTTATTAAACATTATGGTTCGTTTTGAAGGAATTATAAGATATTAAAATTTTACAGTATATCAGATACATAATAAGGTAAGTAATACGTGATATTTTCAACACTAAAATTAAAAATATTAAAAACTTTAAAAAAAAAAAAGTTAAATATTTTGGAATGTATTCTTAATTTAAATCAGAAGAGAAATTATAATATAAATTTAAACAAAAAATTTATACAAAAATTTAAAAAAAAACACAGTAAACATTTAAAAAAAATATTGATATGTTCTTCAGTGATAGAAAATTAATAATATATTTGGATATAAATAATCATTAGACGATATCAGAACTTGTTAATTACATATTTGCGAAAAAGGATATAAGTTTTGAGTAATATATAGTTTCATAATTTATCGTAATTTATCGTTTTACATCGGTACAACAATTAATATATTAATCATTGAAATAAAATGTTAGCATATTATCATTAAATTTATTCAACAAATTATATTGATAATATATCCTGAGGTCTATCTGTTTAAATATTTCGTATTTTTCAATTAAGATGATAAGCAACTGCATAAAAATTTCAAGACGTATTTCGTGTTGAAGTTTTGGAATATAACTGAACAATCTAAACGGAATCGGCGCTTCAACCAGCGATTAAAAACTTCTTTTAAAGTCAATTGGACCTCAAAGGTTATATCATTCAATAATATATAACGAAGATATAACTTTATTATTATGATTTCCAGAATAAATGGTTAAAGTTTTCTATCTATTTTTTTTTTTTATATAAACTTCTTTTTAAATTTCTTTATTATCGCTATATATTGCTTTGCTCTTTATTGTTATACAAATATAATTAAATTTCCTATTATTATTATTATTATTATTATTATTATTATTATTATTATTATTATTATTATTATTATTATTTGGTTAATTGATTATATTTTATAAAGTTATTTGATTATTATTATATAAGTATTTTAAAACGGATAATATAATAAAAGAGTAAGATAGAATCAAAGTATATTTTTATTTGTTTTTTGTAATGAAATTAACTTATAATCATGTAATGTTGTTACATAATGATTTAATATACAAATTTTTGAAAAACTGTATTACAGCGAAGATTACGACGAATGTCAACAATTCTGTAAATATTGTTACTTGCTTGTTATTTTAACTTTTTTCTGTTAAAAATGTTTTGTTTATTATTCATATTATAGTTTCTGTAATGAAATTGTAATTACGAAAATTTATTATATTCAGACTTTTTTTCTTTAATTTAGATAATTTTTATTGCTTTTGAGACAATGATTAAGAAGCCTTAGTTTGGTATACAAGACGAGACATACGAGCTCTGTAAATCTGGAAACCTTATATACGGTTTAATAAGTGAGTATTTTGCGATGTCAATGACTTTTGCTTTTTTTAGGCTCCCAAAAGCATATAAAAGAGAAACTCTTTTTTATTTCTCTCTACATACTAGCCTTCTAAATATAATAATAATTATTTTTTTATATACCGTTCTCACTCATACCATAAATTACTTTAAATTTCAAGAATTTATAAATATTACCTATTTCCTGTTTTATCTTTTATCTTCATCTATTTTATATAATTCTATATAACATATATAAAATAGTAACATAATATACTTGAAAAACATAATGCTTGATATTTTATTTAATAAAGTTATTCCACGAGTGATAATATCATAAATTTATATACAGATAATTAAATGCATTTTGCAGTTAATCATTTTATATTTCACTTATAATTTTAAATGTAATATATTTAAATACATTGTGCATATATACATTACACGCTTTTATTATATAATAATTGACTACATAGTTAAAACTGAAATTATACCATATATTATTTAATAAATGAAAAATGAAATATTTATTTCATTGAAGATTAATAGATATATAAATAACCATAAGCTGTAAATACAAAAATATTGTTTTACATATAAACGTAACTAATCCCTAAAGGCAAAATATGTTTTAATCTGTATAATATTATATTGTTTTTTTAAAAAGCTTAATTCACATACTTGTAATTATAAATAATAAAATTGAATTTAGTTATAAAACTTTCATTTATTTCATCATAATTGAAAATTGAACTTTATTTCCTATCAAATAAATCGTCAAAAAAATGAGAAATTCTGAAACCTGTGTGGATCTATATATGGAATAGATGACAACGAAATATAATACATACATTCGAGTCAAATGTACTACATTACATTTATAAATCAAAACATCTATATCCTAAAAATAATTGATCGTATTCAAATATTTATTAATATATATAATTAAAAATAATTATTACGAAATAATCATAGTCTAATGATTTTTACTAAATTTGTAAATTTGAGCTTATAAAATAATCACCTATAATAATCATCTATATTTAGGTTCTAATAAAAATATAAATATATATTCCGTCGGAAGTATACAGGAGAATTTTTCTTTTATTAATATCTTCGTAATAAATAATATATTGTAATGTAAAAAATTATTATAAATGAAAAAAAAAAAATAAATAAATAAATAAATATAGATATTTATTCAATGGAATAATCTAATTATTTTAATTAATCAAACCTAATTACAATATTAATACATCAGTAATTGGTGCAAATGACGTTTATATTATGTTAAATTTGCATAATTTTGCGTAATTAGTTTGTTTGAATGAAAAAGCAAAGAAATTATGGCTATTTTATTCAATAATTTTAAATCTTTTTAACATACAAATTAATACAACAATAAAA